TCATATCATACACAATTCAAAGATATATCGAATTACACTCGAAATTAATTTTAAAACTAATTTATTTATTTTGATATATTTTTAATGGATTTGAGCGAGTCTTTAATAGTTTAATTATTTTAATATAATGAAATGATTTTTATTAGTTTAAGGTATTCCACAAAATAATATAAATTAGAAATAGATATTATATTTGTTTTAATAAGTTGATATTCCAATACAGAGGCTGCCCATATAGTCATTATATCCTATTAATTGTTAAATCACTATTAATCCAATATTCCTATTATAATGATATTTGTCAATGGGAACAATAAACGTTTTTATATATTATAGTTTTTACTCTTAAACGTTGTACAAAGTTAATAAGTTATACACTATACAGTGAACCGTTAAACATCAAAGGTTATCTATATTTTTCTGGACACGACTTGGATCCGTAATTATTTTATTAAAGTGCTATACGAGGTCATCAAGAAACATCAAACAATTTGTCCAATGAACCAATATTTGTGAATGCAACAGCTATAAATGATTGTATATTTGTATCCAAGGACTATATAGAATAACTTACTGTTTGCGTTTTTGCTCTCGGCATAAAGCAGTTCATCTCTAGTTTTTGTTACCTCTAAATATAAGAAATATTACCTGTTTGTAAAATATATACAATTCAAGATAAATGATAATGTACACAGGACGTAATTTGAGTAGGTAGGTATACAAATGAAAATACATACTTTTATACGCTACTATGCGTATACGCAAGCATTTCCAATTTTTTACCATTATAATATTCAGTTATATAAGATATTTTGCTCGAATATAATATTGTTTACTGATATCATTTATTAGATAAAATTATTTTTTATTATGATTTATAACCCACTCAACTCAAGGTATTTCATTAAATTATTTGTTTTTTTTAGACAATCTAAATATTTACCATTTATGTTTTATTCATTTTTTTTCTAGTTATATATTATTCTTTACATTCCAAATTGAATTGTTAAAATAAAATGTGTGTCCTAAAATCACCCATCAATTAATAGATAAATATAAAATGTTTCGATATTAAAATAATAAAAGTTCTAAAATAAATAAACGTAAGTACCTACGTAACCCAACGGCTAACCTATATGAATGTAGTATAACATGATGACTACTATTATAGTACTATAAATTATTATACACACAAATAAATAATAATACACAATTTACACTCATAACTATTATAATTTATAAATCATAGTATATAGTATAATAGTATATTCGTCCAGATGTCCAGATGTCCTATGTAATCACTGATCATATAGAATTACTATCAAAATTCAAAACAGATAATTGTTAAATCTTAAATAGTTAAATGTAAATCATATTATATCATGTTAAAGAATAACAGATATATTTTTAACCATCGTTTTTCTGATTTCTGAGTTTTTAATTGTTATTGTATAATATCTGTACACACGTCTTGTTCAACGTTATATTATACTCAATTATAGGTAAATAATATATTTAACTAATAAAATACATAATTTACCAGTAACAACTAATATATTTGATATCTTGGTTTTTTTTACGTATCATACAAATTTCATCTCGATTTTTTACGAATACGTCATGTATACCTAATGTTTATATTGTATAACGAATACAACTATTGATTTTAAAATATAGGTAGTATTACTAGTAATTAGTATTAGAACCTATAATTATATTCATATTTTCACTGTACTACAGTCTATACAATACAACAAATTACTAAGGATTTCTAGCCAAAAAGCACACCACAACAGAAATATAGAATATACTATATAGTATAATATTTAGTATTATTGTATATACATAGTCGACTTTGCTCTAAGGGGCCTCCGATATTATGTTGTTATTTCATACTTGTTTTCATTGCCCATTGACATTTATTTGCTTGCTTCTTAAAGGGCCCCTGCATAGCCAAATAGTAAATACGACTCTGAGAATATATACTGTAGTCTGAAATTTATTGGCATACTTATTAATTGCATTTATATTTAACATCAATTATCCAATTATATTTAAAACTGTTTTGTATGATTGTATACGTGTACATCACTACAAGTAACGAATTGTGTTATGATTTTAGGTTATAAAAGTATAACACGTGTAATTCAATCATTTATATTTTATATTACTGCTTATTAAATTTTAATTAATAATAATATTATATAATTAATTATTGTACAATATAATATATAAACTGGCTTACTGGCATTTGACGATAACGTTCGTTTGATATGATAATAAAACAATTTTTATAATAATACATGGTGCCAATGCCCAATAGGTAGGTAGGTGCACAATAATTGAATAGTTCAATAAAATAAAAATATCAATGTAATTTTTGTTACTCACTAAAATATGCTATATTTATATTTATAATAGGTACTTAATATTTAACTTGTTTTAAAATATATTTTGTCTCAAAAATTATTTAGTCAAAATAATAAATATGATCAAAATGTAATTGTTTATAATATTCCAAATAAATATTTAATATACTATGATTAAAAATTTGGTAAACAAATATTTCACCTGAGAAATGTATATTGGTAAACTAGTGAACAGTTACCACTGACAGTTTTCAACTAGCCAAAATGTACAATACAGTATTTAATTATTGTAAAATAAGCCCACGTTTAAAACGTATATCAAAAATTTATCCAAAATTTCCGAAAATGTAAAATTAAAATATTGATATTTTTGAAAAAGCAATTTTATTATTATATAATTTCAAATGTTTTGAACGATCATCAAGTCGAGTTGCTTAGAATAATATAAGAAATACGTTCACCACTATAATTATTGTACTACAATGATAATATTATGGTTATTGGTTAGTGTATACCGTAGGTTGGTAGGTGAGTGGGAACACAGTTGTACACTATACGACGTATGTGCAAGGTACAAGTCCCCTAACCAACCTACGTTCCGTTGTGATAAAAGTATTATATGTTATATAGAATAAAATAAATACGAGTATAATACGACGACAATATTATACCGAGTACCTATAAAAAAAAAAAAAAAAATAGTAGGTACCTACTGACTAATATTATGTACTGTCATATTATGTGTCTTCCTCGAGGTAGATACAGTAGTGTCTGGCATACTAAAGCAGTAAAGCCTCTATAAATTAAACGTTCAAAATTCAAATGTTCAACAACAACTAGCGTGCCGGGTTTCGTGTATTATTTTCAATAGATGTGGCATAAGTATAATGCGTAGTACACGGGCCCCAACCTAACTATATAAGCCGTGTGTGCTGCTGTATGGTAACATCAACAAAATAAATTGGAGGGCGATTTTTTTTCCGTGTTTACACGCCGGTCGCCACGCCGAGAACAGCGTGATTAAATTTTTTTACTCGGATTAGCTACAAAATTTTAGAAATCACGAGACGCAGTAGACACACGTGTAGACCGTGTAGTCTACCTATTATACCGCACACCATACACGAAACACGATATCGTACCATATAATATTTCAATCAGACTACGATTTATGGAACCGTTATTATGGTTGTTCCTTTATAGTTTTTACTTATTGCACACAACACGTATCTACCAATATCTAACTCCCCCCCTCTCATCCACCAATGATTGTCGGGACACCGGACGAACAATAAAAAACAAAACAACAAAGTATGTTAGAGTCTAAGTTGGGCGATGGTGAGTTAGGTGGAACATATTATTATAATTTTTTAATTTATTTAAAAAATAATAAAACAAATGCCTAGGAGGGAGCCGGGGAGGGTAAGAGACGCACTACGCAGCTATTACGAGCACATAATACTATTATTATTAATATTTAAGATGATAATCAGTGTAATGGATTCCCTCTCCGAAGATCATAATGTGACGTCAACGCAAATGAAGACGGGTGAAAAGGAGAAAAAAAAATTAAATAGAGTTCACCGTCGGCCGAAAAACAACAACAACGATGGACGACGATGGTCGGGCGGTGAGTGGTGACGACGACGACGTCACGACGAGTGTCGTTACAGAGTTGTGCGTTTCCGTACGGCGCGTCGTACACGCGGACGGAGGAGGTCGGTAGGTCTGTGTGCACGCCGCCTAAATAAAACGTGCCATAGACGTGGGATGACGGGAGGGACGCGCGGTGTCCCGTATATAAGGGGACGCGACGCACGGCCGCGCCGGTAGTGTCGTCGTGCGCCGGTTTCCATCAACACTGCACAACCAGCCGTAGCGTGTTTCGGTGTGTGCGAGAGAGCGAACAACAACAACAACAACAACAACAACAGCAGCAGCAGCAGGCCGGTCCGCCGTCCGCCGTGTTCAGCCAGTCAGTCAGTCGAGAGTAGTGTCCTAGTCCGTTTCGCTGTCGGCTTTTGCGTTCGCGTTTGTAAACTCTTGTGGTGTTTACAACAGTAGAAGAATATTATAATATAATATATTACAGTCGTCTTAGCGTAACGGTTGTTGTTGTTGTTATACCGTCGGAATCGTGTAGTCGAGAACTGTGTCTGTGTGCGACTGTAACAACGCTCCCGGGATCGAATGATTTTTTAGAACATCGTCGGTCGTTCAAAAGTATTACATGTCGTCGTCCCACGCGTCCCGGTTTTTGTAAATTATTCGTTATTTATTAAGTATTTCGATATATTATCTTTTGCCCTGTATAAATACCGAGAAAAAAACCCACTGATAAGACGGGAAAAAAAAAAGGAAACAAGTCGATAAAAGATATTATATTTATAGTCATATACGGGCGAAGAATCGTGATATTTTACTATATAGAAATTTAAAATATTACACTCGCCGACGGATAATTAAGTGCTGTGATATATTGTTTTTTTTTTTAAGTTTAAATTAAATATTTATTCGTTATTAAATTATTTTGTGACCGCGCCGTCTGTTGACGTACACATACGCCGTGTTCCATTATCCACTCCCAAAAGTATTATTCACTGATCTTCGTACGCTTCGCAGTCATTAAAAATGGTCGAGAGTATCATTGAAGAAGAAACCCCCGGACAGACTGAGAGCACCCAAAGTGAGTATTAATTGTTCCTCAGCGTTGTCGTCCATAGATACAAATTGTGTACATAGATTGTAGTTGTGTAATGTGCTTGTCGATTTTGATTGACAGATGTCCCGGTTGAAAAAAAGTCTGAATCACTGTCGTTGAGAAAAGAAGAGGCTCGCAACAAGCGCAAGAAGAAGAAGATCACCAACAGCCTTGTGACATCTTGTTTCCAAGGTATGTGTACCTATGCTCAGTGATACGTATGTTGTTCGTTATTATAATGTGACAAAAATTACAAAACAATTGATATTAATTTATCGGGTAGATTACATTCTGTGGCTTAGGTATAATTTATTTGCTCGAAACGGTGATAATTGTCTACTCGAAAACCATTTGTAGGTCATTTTCTTTTAATAGTTTTTTTTACGGTTAATAAGACTACTACATTTGCCAACATTTTAGCACACAATGACTTGGGCCAAACTATGACTAACAGGAATAAGTTTCTGAGTATGGTATTTCCTGTGATAATATAATGCTTAATTTTCTATTATTTTTTATTTACATCTGGTAAGGTTGAATATTTTGCCATTACTAAACTTTAATATGTACAAATCAATAAATTATTACAACTATAATTTAAAATATTGAAATGTTACTTTCTCATACAGTATCATTTTCTTACTTAAATTTTATAATTACTCCAGGAATACAATAATATTTATCTTAGTATTTTCGGTTTGTAGTTTTTTTTTAGATAAATAATAACAAGAACAAGTTCTTATAAATGTAAACAATTAAATCTAAGAACGTTTGTTTTCTTCTGACTTTAATCTGTAATTAATGTGAGTCTAGTAATAAGTAGTAAGTACTTAATTACTTAATGATGAAATATTGTAATGTGTTCTTATCATAATAGGTACAATTTAAATTAATGATAAGGAAATTAAAATTGTAACTAACAATTGTTTCTAAATTACATTATAATTTAATATGAAAAAGATTTGTAACTCATAATACCAATATCAAATTTGATCTTTTAAAATAAAGAATAATTTATTGTTCAAACCTAAAATTGTTATAAAATATTAGTAGGAATTTGATACATTTTTTTTAGAAAATTTACTTCATTTAGGTACCTAAACGTATTATTGCTATAATAAGAACAGCAGATATAGGTATACATTTTTTTTTATTAAATATGAAATTAGCTTTCATTACCTGTGTTAATAAAAAATATATTTTTTTTAATTTTATTGGGTTGATTAAAATTATTGAGATAATCATGATACTGTTAAATCCAAAAACCACACACTTCAGATCAAATATAGGACACAACCACACACTTTTGTTGTATCCAAAAACTGTACATTTTATAATTACTTAAAAATGTATATATTTTTAAATATAAAATAATAAATATATTGTTTAAAATTTAAATAAAAGACATTTTTGTCAGTCATGTAGGTACTCATCATTATAATTACATGAGAATTCTATATTTTTTTTATGTGTTACAATAGGAATTTCATATTATTGAAAAAATACCTGAGTGTTTAATTTTGGCTGGTAAGAATATCGTAACTTAAAACATGATTTAGTGCTACTACCAAACTTTTTGGTGAACTTAGTAAAAGTTTTAGACGTTCGGAATATGTCTAGTGTCAGTATATTATAAATAATGTGCGGTATTTTGCTATAAAATGAGCCGATAATGTGTGTGGTTTTTGGATTTAACCCATGATTTATTTATAAATGTTATTAGTTGTTGGTTATTTATTATGTATAAACCGTTCATTTATTGATAAATGCTTAAGTTTACTTTATTTTATGATCAGAATTGTAGGTAGGTACATAAAATATTTAATGAAATATGTATTTGAATATATTATAAGCTGCGGGGGACAGAGTGGCCGAGCGGACTAAGGCGTCGGTTTCGACGCTCACCGACACCGGATTGATCCCGGCTATAGGTGGCATTTTTCTTCGGACAGTCACGGTGTCCGGAGAGAGGCGCCATCCCCCACCGCCTTGGCAGATACCTACGGGTGCCCACTTAAAAATTCTGCCTAACACAAACACTCACGTGTAAAAACTCACCGTTCAAAACCCTATCACTACCATAATACAACCCTACAAACAGCTAATGGCCATAAATGCCGGGCTTAAGAATCAATAAAAAAAAAAAATTATAAACTAATGTATGAACTGATAAAGAAAACATTTTAAATTGTTAAATATTTGATTCTTGTAATATCATGGTCATCGTCAATTTGTAGTAAATTCTGTTTTACCAGATAATATAATTTAAGTTTAATTTTGTTTGTTTATTATCAAATTAATAATAATGTATTATATTTTATTTATTTAGATGCATATAAATTGACTGGTGAAGTATTGGGTCAAGGTGCTTATGCATCTGTTCAAACGTGTGTAAGCGTGTTAACTGGCTTAGAATTTGCTGTTAAAGTGATTGACAAAATTGCCGAACATGCTCGAGCACGTGTATTCCGCGAGGTTGAAACATTTTACCATTGCCAAGGCCACCCAAACATCATTCAAATGCTTGAATTCTTTGAGGCTGATGACAAATTTTACATGGTGTTTGAAAAGGTGGTAGGTGGGCAACTGCTTGATAGAATACAGGAACGAAAGAGATTTACAGAATGTGAAGCTAGTCTTATTGTCAAAGATTTGGCAAGTGCATTAAATTTTCTACATCAAAAAGGTACCTTATTAAATAGTTTTTGTTTGATTTTCTGGAATGTATTTAAATTTAAAATTTTATTTTACAGGAATAGCTCATCGTGATTTGAAACCCGAAAATATCCTTTGTGTGGATCCTGTAGCATTAACTCCTGTTAAGTTATGTGATTTTGATCTTGGATCTGGTATTAAGTTGAATCCAATTGATGGCAGTGCAACGCCACAACTATTAACTCCAGTAGGAAGTGCTGATTTCATGGCTCCTGAAGTAGTAGATGCATTTGTTGGAAGTCCAGACTCCAATTACCATTATTATGATAAGCGTTGCGACTTGTGGTCACTTGGGGTAGTAGCATACATACTTCTTTGTGGCTACCCACCATTTTATGGGAATTGCGGCTCCAATTGTGGATGGGAATCAGGAAATGCTTGTCCAGAATGTCAAGTAAGACTATCATGGAATGATAATTAAATGATCAAATTTTTAATGGTGAATATTTGTTTTAGGGTTTGCTTTTTATTAGCATTCACGAGGGTCGTTATGAATTCCCAGACCGTGAGTGGGCAGACATATCAAGTGAAGCCAAAGATTTGATCAGCAAATTGCTGGTTAAAGAAGCTAGTGCTCGACCAAGTGCTGCTGAGGTCTTAAATCATCCATGGGTCTTTAGATTACAGCAAGAAAAACCCAAAGATCGTGAACTAAGTACACCAGGTGTTATAAGACGCAACAATAGTGCTCGCGCCCTATCTACATTTGCAGAGTCTGCCATGTCGGCTAATCGAGTGTTCCTGCAGCATTTCAGTTTGTTTTCATCATCTGATGTACCTCTTGCTGCTGCTAAAAGACTTTCACCGCCATCGCATTCCATGATTGTACAGCGTAGGTCACTTGGTAAACCACAATGTTCCAACGAAACTACTGGTAACCGAGCTCCTGCTCAATTACCAATCATTGCATCTCCTAGCGGCTAGAGTTTAACAGGCCTCCTACATTCATTACCTCTCCACCTTTTTTATACTAATTAAAATCATTAGAAAACAAAAATTTGGAAATAATTTAAATACAAATATGAATTGACAATTTTTTTTTTTTTTTTAACTAATAGTCATGTATCTGTTTTTTTTTATAAAGACTAAATATGCAATAAATATTATAAAATAATAACTTAATAGTTATGTTATTATATAATATATATAAATACAGACTTATTTTTGTACTTGGAAAAGCTCAGTCTTCAAAAAAAAAAGGTAATAATTAAAATTTGTGATAATTCCAATGTTTGGCAACACCTTTTGTATTATGGTGCCATTAATATGTAAACTTTCGGGTATGGTTAACAAAATCAATAAGTTTGTTATTTTTTTTTTCTTATAGAAAACCAACAAGGTACCTATATTAATATATTGTATAATTAGACATAGGTTAGTCCGCAGAATATGCGAACGTTTACACCAAAACTAATGTCTTATCTAGAATATAGCTCATCAGGTGCCATTTGTTTTTTTTTTTTTTTTTGTTAGTAATGGTATAGAGAAAAAAAAGGCTGTCATGCATAGAGTTTAAGTTACAAACTTTTGTGTATTTTTTTATGAGAAGTATGGAATGTTTTTTAAGTAAATTATTTATACAAGCAATGCACGTTAAAAACTATTGTTAATAAAAAGAATGGATTTTTTTTGATATTGTGAAATAAAAAAAAAATTTGAAATTTTTTTACATAAATGCAAATTTGATTTTTTAAATAATTTATATACATTTATAAATGTTCATTGTGATAATATTGAATTTGAATACACGTCAACAGTTTGTGTTAAAAAACAAAACATAAATAGAACCTCTGTAATTCCAAAATTGAAAATAAAACAATTTACAATTCAATTGAATAATGTTTAACTGTTATATGAAAGCCTAATGCCTATTATCACTAAATCAAGTATTGCCTTTTTAGATAATGTTCTACTCAATGATCAAGTATTATTTAAATAGTTTGTTGTGTTAAACAATACCAACAATACATTTATACTTTTATCACCTAATGATTGTAAATTATTTGAAGTGATAAAACCATGAAACTTAATAAGAGCCATTATTCTGTGAATTAATTTTGATCTGTTAAATTTAACATTGGTTAACAAACAAGTTTAAAAACTAAATGGTTTCATTACATTTAGAAATAGTTCAGCTTGCCTAAACTGTATTAAAAATATAAAGGCTTAAATTATACTGAAATAGTGAGAAAAAAATATATTATAAATATAACCTTAACCCTTCAAACAAAAAAAATATATATTTACCATGATGAAGAAAAAGTGGCCTACTTAAATGTTGGCACCTCTATTTAATTTTAATGTGCGATTGGCGCCACTATACGGCGATATAGTCTATACCTACCTTGATATTTAGTGTGTGCGCTGTTAAAATTGTTGTTAACAGTTAACAATTGTATTGGGTGTAAAGAGTAAAGACCGATTGAACAATTAATAATTAACCACCGCATACTGTTCAGAGTTTTGAAGATATTAAAAATGTTGGTGCGCTTAGCTTATTCCCTATAGGTACTATGAAAAAAAGTCAATAATTGTCTTACAGAAACCTAAAAATACAAAAGTACAATTTTTACTTTATAAAAATTATTGTATTATTTTATTGATATTATAAGTACAAATTTCTGTGAATTGAATATTTAAGGGATATCAATAGTATGGAAACATTCTCTGAAAATTAATTTTAGATTCTGAGTGGAACGATGAATGTATTGATTTTACAATGATGTGTGTTTTTTTTTGTTATTTTTTAATTTTCTTAATTTTTAATTTTTTTTACTTTTACACAGAGTACACGAAAAGTAGTCGAAATAATGCTTCGATTTTCAACTTCAGTATCTTGTTTGGTTGAAAAGTGAATATCGTTGGTGAATTGGAGAGGTCAAAATTTAAAATTTTCAGTAATTTTCAAAAGCGTCAGGAAAAATTAAGGAAAAACGGGAATTTTTACGCAAAATAGTATTTGGTTTTTGGTGTAACTTTAAAACAAATGACCTTAGATACATGCAATTTTCACTGGTTGTTTACATTTGCATTTTCTATACACAAGATTTTCAAAATATTTTGACTTGTTTTGAGCTGTTTACAGACAATTTCATATTAAATTTTTTTATTTTTTCTTTCTATGAATATCAATAAAGTGTAAAAATATATTTAAAATTGAATAATTATTTTGTAGTTAAAAATTTATAAAATGTTTAACTTTTATATCTAAGGATTGCAAATTTAAAACAAGATTCCACGTAAGTAGTTAATTCTGTTACCAAAAAATATAAAAAATACATAAGCACAGTTTATTTTTATAGTCATTTTAAGTTCAAATTTGAATGATACGACATAAAAAAAACCCTAGAATAACTATTTCAGTTATTTTGTTGTCATTGTATAAATATATTATTCGTGGGTAGGTACTTGAAACTTCTAAAGTACACTATTATGTATCTATGAAGACTATGATAGTAGGTATCAAAGTTTGTTGTTGATGTATAATGCGTTATAAGTACCTAATGGATATTGTGATATGATTAATTTGGAATTTCTTATAGGTACCTATTATAGGTCAATTTTTTTTAATATCATAGATAAGTATATAATATGTCTTATACCTAGACTGACATGCCGTCTTCGCTCAGATTCGTTTTTCTAATACAATGATATTATATCATTGAATTCAAATTTAATACCATCCATTATACAGTGACCCACTTGCAACCTACTGTACAGCAGAGCACCTTTTTGTATTTTAAATAATTTGGTTTATTGATGGATTTAAGAGTAAAAACACCTATTATCAATATTGTAGAACAGAAATTAATCTGTTCCTGTCTAAAAGTCAATTTTTGATATTTCATTATTTAATTTACTAAACCGAATAATTCAAAAAGTAAAATATCACAAGTTTTAAGTTTTAGAGCTATTTACTGGAAATTGAAAATTAAATATCAAAAATCAATAATCGACTCATATAGGTACAGGGTTACGCAGAACTCCTTCTATTCAATTTGTATACCTAATAATTAATAAGTGTTCATACAATAATGTAACATAGACACATAGTAAGCTATATTACTTAGAGGCTAAAGCTTATTATAGCTTATTATTATATTATATTATTGGCAACACGAAATCAAGTTACAGGGTTTCACTAAAATTCACATTTACAATAAATTAGTGTGTAAAGTTCTGCATTATTACTTATTGGCATGTACGTCAAAAGCGCTCCTCTATATTTTATATAACACACAGTCACAAATCCTATAATGATCAGTGATCGCTTACTACGCACACAAACGCATAGAAAATTGCCTATACTAAACTCCTTAAAAACAGTCGTTTTTTCGTGTTTAAGCCAGAAGAAAAAAACATGCTTCCACTTTCCAGAAGTCCAATTTTAATTTTGATGGTTCGCTTTTAACAGCCTTAAACAAAAAATAACAGTTTTAATTATATTGTTATAGTTTGAAAAACATTATTCGTAATTCGTAGAGACTAACCACATTAGCTGCTTCCCAAGTTTAACATATTATTATATTTAATATCAATTATCATTGTATAAGAAAAACGATTCTGTGCGAAAACGGTCGGTCAGCCTATGACATTACTGAATACTTAATGCCTTCTAACCTACTTCAACTTTACCTATATAATAACAATATATCAGGAGCCTTGCATTAAATTTTCAAGCTTATTTACCCAGCAATAACAATTTTATTGATATTTATAGAAAAAAAAAACTATAAAAATTGAAAACTGACAATGTCCGCTAACAGCCCAAAAACAGTTTCTTAATTTTGAAATTGTTTGATTTAATTTTGATATTTACATTTTTAAAATTATAAACCTAATAATTAGGTAATATTAGATAATATGTATTATTAATTAATTCATAATTTATAAATAGTTATTTGAAAATTATAATATTTCCAAAATAATGCTCTATATAGGTATCGTTGAACTCACTTGGTAAAAAAATTAAGAATAAAAATTCTATGGGTGGAATGAAGGAAGGGGCATAACATTTGATACTCATTCCAAAACCCCCAGTCTGTTCGATTCCAACGGACGTAACATAATAATTAATAATATGTAATATCTACCTGCATACCATCGCTTGCTGTGCGACGTCATCACCATAGGCGCAATTTGGGGGGTGCTTGGGGGTGCTTAGCACCCCCAAAATTCATATTAGCACCCCCAAATTTTCAACAGCATCATTTAATTGTTATTGGTTATACACGTATTATGTCATAGACAACAGGATAAATTAATTTCTAAGATTTGACTTATATAATAATAATAATATTTCACTCGTATTTTTCGAATCGTTAAGTCTGTGCGACTGTGCGACGTACATGTAACGTGTTTTATTGTTTATCCTCATTAACTTCCTATATTTAATTTAATTTAAATTATATTTTATTTTATTTTAATTACCTACTTAAGTTGTTATTGTTTTTAAATTTTATTCTGGAAAATACTAAAAATATTTTTAGTATTTTCAATTTTGAAAAAAATTCAAAAAATGATAATGATAAACACCAAGAAGTAAGTTTTGATATTTATTAAATGAAATAATAAATAATTTTGCTATGTCTCAAAAGCATATATCTTTATTATAATATTCAAATGAAAATAAAAAACGTATTTACTTGTATTATATATTTATTTTTCAATATTAATAATTATTGATTAATCAGGTAGTATTATGAATGCATGAATGGTGTTATGAGGGGGGGGGCGAAGCCCCCACGGGTTACTTTGGTCCACATAAATCTAGCACCCCCATAAATTTAGCCCAAATTGCGCCTATGGTCATCACCTCAAGTTGGTAACCACCGTATAACCATTCTCATCATTTTTCGGACAACTGGCACCCGCCTGTATATAATAGTAGTCTCAAGTGTGTATAGCAGGGATGGCCAACCCGC